TTAGAAGCTTGCATGACAAAGACAAGCTGTGTCTCATGCTGAATTCCTCTGACGTGTGCTCAGCTGCAGTGGTGTTCCAGTTACTGTGTTAGTTATTGGTGATAATATGTGGGGAATTGCACAGTAGTCACACAGCTGTAGTCACACAGTGAGGAAAGTTGTTTCCGTATTGTACTACTTATTGCACGATTAGTGTATGCAGCTTACAGGCATGTCTGTTGTCATTAGCCCAGCTTTGTTAATATTTATGTCGTTGTCAATTTCTAATTGATATTTTTATTATAATTTATAGTATTTCATAACTTGGATCGCTATATAAGACAGCTGTTGTACACTCATATCGGAACTTGTGGAAAAATGTTCTCAGTGCCAGCTAAACATGTTTAATTGACATCTTCGTTTTCCTTTAATGATCTCGACAGTTTCTTATGTGCCAAAGCACTGTGGAATGATGTTCATTATTTTCTTTGCTTTTAATGCTATTTTTGAGCTGGTGTTTACTGTGCACCAGCATTTTTCAAATGCTTAGGCTGTGACCGTAAAATAAGAATGTAGAAACGTTGTCGTAAACTATCTCTACTTCTATTTTAGAGACAAATGTAACACAAGCTACGTTAAATTCTAGGCATCAGGCGTTAGACAAGATTATTCCACAAAAATACCTTGTAGTTGTATTTTAATATAGATATGAAAAATTACAAATGCTTTCCCACTGAATCTAAATAACTTTATACACGCAATTTTGTCTGGTTTCTCATTGACAACAATTAAAATTCCACTACAAACTCAGTCAGCAAGAAGAAATTACAGTGTAGAAAAACACGTTAGTTTAGCACATGTCTTACTGGCACATAGACGTGAAGACCTGCTACCTATTGGTACAATTAAGTGACTACATACCTAGCATTATCCTTTGCAATAGTATTATATGCATCGGCACTGAGAAATCTAACTGTTCGTGCCAGCTCCTTTCCCTTCTGATTTCTCTCACACATGGGTACTGGTGACACCCTTCTCCCTCGTGGTTTCTATCTCCTACTCTCTTTCCGCTCTATTGCATGCGCTCTTATTCTCCCTCTCCATCTTCATCTCTTTTATCACCACCTAGCAATCCAAATCTATAACCTGTTCACTCACAAGGACCCATAGCGGTGCACCGCACCGTCGCTGCCAGTGCGCGACTCGATGCAGGGACTACAGTCACTGCTGCTCGAATCCTCAGCGATGGTGGCATAGTGGCCGCGGTGTGCACGAGCACACTGGTCCTCGGTTGAGATCAGTAGATCGTGCTCAGTGTCGTGTCGTGGGAAGTGCCACGTGCGTCGTGAGAGCACCGACACAACAAACATCTCAACGATGAGTATCAGGTGAAAAAAACCTAGAGCAACGAGATGATAAAAGACAGGAAAGGCGCAAGTATAAACATTTTTGTTTGCAAAAAATGATGGCTGATACACAATTATGTGAACAAGTGCCGCAGAGCGACAGCGCTCAACTGACGTCTACTGTAGCCAGGTATTCTTCTGATAAACTCACTGGCCAACCGAATCAAGTGCGCCCTCCTGCCACCGCGTTCGCGCTCAGAGCATATATCTAGGATACTACTAATACAGATCTAAAATCTATGATAGGCTATACCTACTGGTAGTACAGTAGTAAAGATACAGCTGTGTAACTTTAATGACTTCGCTATATTAACATGTTATCAAGGATATGCGTGGAGCGCGAGCGTAGTGGTGGTGGTGGGGGAGGGAGGTCGT